GGGGGGGGGGGGGGGGGGGGGGGGGGGGGGGGGAAATGGCGTTCACTCTGATGCGAATATCGTTATATACAAAGATATTTCTCTTGCCTATATGTCTAAGCTCTAAGGTCACCTCTCTATAGAAACATGCACACGTTTCCCTTCTACCACCAGAACAGAAAAAAGACAAGCTTCCCTTAAGTTTCCCTCCTAACGTCAAAGCCCTGAAGTTCTAGCAATGGTGAGTCTCTCTCTCTCTCCCTCTCTCTCTCTCTCTAGTACACTTCATGTCTCATGTCATGTGCATACAGGAGGAAGATACCAAGTCAGGCTACAATTCCTGCAGCCCATGGAAAACTAAACAGAAAGGTGGTTTCACAGCTACCTTCTTCATTTATGGTAAGCAAGACCTCAAAGTTAGACTTGTTTCCTGCTAGCTCCCCACACACACGCACACACATATATGTATTTATGTATGTATGTATATATTGATTAATTAATGCAATGGAACTCAAAACTTGAAGATCTGTCCTTGGAAGGAAATTTTTTTTCAAATCATAATCTTTTCAAAAGCTGCCATTCCTATTTGACTCCTCCTTGTCAACAACCAGCAGTTGCCAGATTAGTCTTTTGAAGAACACCTTGGCTTTACGGCTTTTCTATCATTACTAATATGCAGTTAGCAGATTTTATCTCAACATCGTGACTCTTTCAACATGTGCATGCTTGAAGATGAAAGTTCCAAAAATCTATGTACTCAGTGTAGCTATGTATGGTGGATTGGGCTGCTCAACTGATTTGTTCTAAATTTTGATATGATCAGCATGCAAGTGCAACTTCATGATATATATATATATATAGATATATTTATTTACACACATACATGTGTGTGTGTGTGTGTTAAATATTCACTTCCTCCCTCTCTATATATATACAGCGTTGGTGGCATTGGACAACATGGGTTTTGTGGCGAACATGGTGAGCATGGTCCTGTACTTCATTTACAAGATGCACTTTGATCTATCTGGCTCAGCCAACACCCTGACAAACCTCATGGGTTCAACTTTCTTGCTCTCTATTGTTGGTGCCTTCATATCAGACACTTTCTTGAACAGACTCCATACTTGTCTCATTTTCGGATTTGTTGAAGTTCTGGTAAATATATTTTGTTTTTTTCTTTTTTTTTTTTTTTTACATCTACTTTTTGCTTTGCCATAAAATTTTGGTCATCTTATATGGTATTTTATGTGGAAAAAAAGTTGTGATAAAAAAGATGACATTTTTTGGGCAAATTACACTTATGGACACGAATGAAATACGCGTTCAGTCTCACTTTGGTTCCTTAAATACGTTCTTTATGTCATTTTAGTTCATTTGCATGGAAGATAGTAATTGAACGACATAAAACGACATTGAAAACTTAAGGACCACCATCACATAATTCAAAGTTGAGAGAGTACTGTATATTTCAAAGAGTGATATAGTGTAATATTGTAAGCAATAATTTTTAATACAACAAGTCCCACACAAATTGAACCAGAAAAACATAAGAGTAATTAATATGGCTAATAAAGAGGATGAGTTAGTCTTATTTGATTTTAATTTACTAAAACATGGATCAATCATATTTTTATGATTGAGAGAAAAATGGACCTAGTTTTGCAAATTCTGATTTTGTATCTGAAATGTATGGTAAGATATGAACCTGACACAATAATCTCAATTGACAACCCTAGCTTTTGGATAATTAATCGAAACAAACACACAAAATGACTATATATATTTTTGGTAGAACAAGCTTATTAACATTATGGTGTTATACTTGTAGGGTTTGTTGATGATGACAATTCAAGCTCATTACCCTAGCTTGCAACCACATGCCTGTGGGAATAAGTCAAGTTGTGTAAAAGGTGGTATAGCAGTCATGTTCTATGCCTCTCTATCTTTAGTTGCATTGGGCAGTGGTGGGGTTAGGGGTGCTCTAGCACCCCTTGGTGCTGACCAGTTCAACCAGAAAGACCCAAAAGAAGCCAAAGCTCTAGCCAGCTACTTCAACTGGCTTTTGCTTAGCACTACTTTGGGTGCATCCGTTGGAGTCACGGTGATCGTTTGGGTCAGCACCAACAGAGGTTGGTGGTTGGGTTTTCTAATATCTTCGATTTCTACATCCATGGGTTTTGTTTTTCTTGCACTTGGAAGCCCTTTCTACCGCATCCAACCACCCGGGGACAGCCCCATCACAAGAATTGCACAGGTCTCTCTCTCTCTCTCTCTCTCTCTCTCTCTCTCTAAATGGGTGGTGTTGATTCTCGCTAGGGGTATCAATTTTATTCGTCAGCATGGACACAACACAATCTTAACACAACATTAATGAATCAAAGCAAACAGTAAACTAGTAAACATGCGGATTGTCTGAGTTAATTAGACACGAATAACCTATTCTGATGCTAAGAAAAATTGAAAAAAAAAATGTCCTCTTAATATTTTTTTTCTTACTCTTTGGTGTTGTAATGCATGATAAATTTGATTTGGATCAAATAGATTTAGAGATAAAAATATACTCATCTTATAGCTTTTGGTTCACCATTTACACGAACATGACAACCAAAAACAACACAATCAAACATAACATGACATTAGTCGATTAACATCTTTAGTTTTCACAAGCTTTTACATTTATTTCTCTTGTATATGTGTGTATAATCCTAAGAAATGACATTTCATATTGGTGGTTTTGACAGGTTATAGTTGTGGCAGTTAAAAATCGAAGGTTATCAGTACCAGAGAATCCTGGTGAATTATATGAGATCAATGAAAAGGAATTAGTTTCTACGGAGGACAAGATTGCACACACCNAGAATCCTGGTGAATTATATGAGATCAATGAAAAGGAATTAGTTTCTACGGAGGACAAGATTGCACACACCAAGCAATTTAGGTATTATTATTTCTGTCCAATTAAAATAATTTATAACCACGAGTTGTGGTAAAACGATAAAGTTAATGTATTGTGAGATATGGACTTTGAACATATCAGTCACAAAAACAATCTTTCAATAACTAACTGTCTCTAGTGACGAAAGAATCTTGGAGTCACTCTTTTGGACAAAAGAGTATAAAAATGAAATAGAAGTAAAAAGGAAGAGATATATAAACAAGCAAATTCTTTTGCTCGCAAAAGGACATGCAAGTCAAAAGTATAAGTTGACTATTTGTTCTTGAGTATTGTTATTTAAACTTATAAATTTGATTTAATTCGATAATTTTATGAAATGATTTCAGTGGAACCATTAGATCAACACTAAGTTTCAATTTTATAAAAATCTTATTAAATTAGGTCAATAAATTATGCACTGATAATAACTCCCTCAATTTTACAATTAATGATTACAAATTAATCAAACAAAAATCCAAGGCTATGTAAGGTACCCATATTTTTTCCTTTTTTGATATAAGCATACTTATCCTAGACAATAAGGTTTGCCAGGTTTGGCAGTAATGTTGTCAATGTATTTGAATTTTGATTCAAATATGGAATATCCAAATTCAAATTCTGTTAGCCGAAATAGGAATTGATATTTTTTATTGATAATTTGAACCTGAATTCAAATTTAATATTTTATATTTCATGAATTCGTATTTGGATATACCTACGTCCGATCCAATCCAATTATGATCCGATTCAAATTATTTATATATTTTTATATAAATAAAAAAATAAGTGATTATTGAAAGAAATTTAGTTAAAATTTAGGCATAATTTATTAAAATTTAGTTAATTAAGCTATTCAAATCGGATCAAATTTCAAATTTTAACAGATTCAGACATTGATCATGAAAATAAAATTTATCAAATTATCGGATCAAATTTTTAAAATTGACTTCAAATTTGAATCAGTCAAAATTCAATCCGTTGACCAGGCTATGTGGCACATATATGTGTAACAAATCTGTTTCCTGGAGCAGGTGCCTCGACAAAGCTGCAATTCTTGACAATGGCTCTTCACCCTCACCATGGACAGTATGCACAGTGACCCAAGTTGAAGAAGTGAAGATTCTAACAAGAATGTTACCCATAATAGCCAGCACAATCCTAATGAACACCTGTTTGGCACAACTCCAAACATTCTCTGTCCAACAAAGCAGCATAATGGATCGTTACTTAGGCTCATTTGAAGTCCCAGCACCATCAGTCCCAGTAATCCCACTAATCATCATGTCCATTCTCCTTCCCATCTACGAATTTCTCTTCGTCCCCTTCGCTAGAAAAATCACTAAACACCCATCAGGGATCACCCAGCTCCAACGCGTTGGAGTCGGCCTTGTTCTCTCCATAATTTCCATGGTCATCGCAGGCGTTGTAGAGGTGAAAAGAAGGAATCAATCCATCAAAACACCATTGAAGCCCATCAGTCTGTTTTGGCTCACATTTCAGTTCTCCATTTTTGGGATCGCCGACATGTTTACGATGGTGGGATTGCTGGAATTCTTCTATAGAGAAGCGCCTGCGGGAATGAAATCGCTATCTACTTCATTTACTTGGATTTCACTCTCGTTTGGCTATTTTCTCAGCACTGTGTTCGTGGATATTATTAACTTGGTGACCAAGAAAATTGCGCCGAGTAGACATGGGTGGTTGTATGGACAGGACTTGGATAAGAACAATTTGAATCTGTTCTATTGGTTCTTGGCTGTGCTTAGCTGCATCAACTTTGGGAACTATCTGTTTTGGTCCTGGTGGTATAGGTACAAGAAAGAAGATACTTCAAATTTAGGGAATAGTTTGCAAGATGTTGAACCTAAGAAGATCAATGGAGACTCCTCTCTTACAAAAAAAGAGGGTGCTAATGAAGATGATACTTCAAGGTTAGGGACTGGTTTGCAAGATGATGAACCTAAGAAGATCAATGGAGACTCCTCTCTTGCAGAAAAAGAGGGTGCTAAAGAAGAAGATACTTCTAAGTTAGGTACTGTTTTGCAAGATAGTGAACCCAAGACAAACAATGGAGACTCCTCTCTTGAAGAAAAAAAAGAGGGTGCTGAAGATCAAGACCAAGACCAGCAAGTGGGTGAGGCCAAAACAGATAAATAAGAAAAGATAGCAGCGTGCTGATATGGGTCTACATATTGGGTTGTTTCTTCTTTTTTTTGTATGCTTCTGCGAGTGAGCTTTTGGATAAGCCTTGTGAGGAAATGTTTGCAATCAATTGCTAGAGAGGTCTTGAATTCATTGACATAAAGTTTGTAATCAGATGTCCACATGTATAATAAGATTGTAAAAGCAAATATTGAAAAAGGATTTGCATTATGAAGTTATGAAGTTTGGCTTTGAAATATTAGTTACTTACATGGTGCCGTTTTATATTTATTAAACGTATTATATTCATTTTTTGAGATTGTCAAGTAATTTAATCCAAATACTGATGGGATAGGCTCAAGGGTCCCACTCATGTCATGAATTCAATTTAAATTAAGAGTTCAACTCCAAAAGATCTAGCGTAAGTTTGAAGAGCTACATCAACAGTGAAGTATGCAAGGGTCATCCAAGAATCTCATCCTAGCCACCTTAGAGTAAAAGTCATCCAAGAACCTCCTTCTACTCACCTTGGAATAAGGGTCATCCAAGAGTCTTATCCTAGCTACTTTGTAGTAAGGGTCACCCAAGAGTCTTATCCTCGTCGCCTTGGAAAGAGTCAGCCCTCACCTCATCTTTTGACCGAATTTTATGGAGAGTATTATAACTGTCTTGTCCGTTGAGAAGAGATTGTCACCTCTATCGAATCAGCTATTTAATTACTATTAAATCACTTTAATCCGTTATAACCGTCAGACTAGCTATTCAATTACTATGCGTTATGAGGAAACTATAAATTAAGTTTCGCCAACACTTTGGGGGCAGATCATATTTAGTCGAGCACAACTCTCCTCTCCCTCTCTAAGCTTGTAACTCTCTGCTCTCCCTACACATTTTAGTTAATAAAATACCCGACGACTTTTGCCATTTAAAGTGGACATAAGTCACGTTAATCAAGTTATTATAAACCTTATTTTATCTCTTCTTCTATTTATTTACTGTATTTTGTACTGCTTACTTAATAAGTGGTATACAAACTTATTTGTGCATATGACATTAACGTGAACATGACCCATGACAGGAATGTTATCCATTGACTCATCTTCGTGACACAAAATTGGACATGTGTAAGGCATCTAACCGATATATTTTAATATTATATTCTTTTTAATTTTTTTTCAACATGTATACGGTCATTCAATCCATGGATCCCCCTAGGTTGGCATGGCTTGTTTTATTAAATAAGTTTTATGTGGCATACCTACTGTAATAAACCGGTCATATCGAGGTTAGAGATTTCATTACATGATTAGTCAATAATATCATAACATAAACTTGATGGCTGATTGTGGATTCAAGACTCGAACCTGACATAAAATAAACTTGAAATGATATAACTCAACTGCATCCCAATGTGGATTCAAGTGTCAAACATAACATAATATATACATAATATGATATGATCCTAGTGGCGGGGAGATAGGGGTTTTGGGCTCACCCTGAAAAAAATAATTATTTTTACTTATATATGTTTTATATATTTTTTAGATAATTTTAATTGGATCCACCATAAAATAAAATTAATTAGGTCAAAGAAATTAGATACATTATAATGGAATAAAAAATAATAATAAAGCTCAATTCCATAACAAACCTTAGAAGCCAATAAACTTAAAAAAAAAAATGCTGAGTCACAAAAATACTATTGTGACTTTCTGATTGCAAGTCTTTGTTTTTTGGAAAAACAACGTTTTTAAAAAAAAAAATTCAGATTTTAACATAGAGTTTTTTGGCTAGTTAAGCTGTGAAATAGGTTTCAAATTTTTAGAATTTTGTTGGTCCCTTTTGATTGTTTGTAAAAATTGAGTCTGATGTTCCGTTTGGTACGATAAAAAGATGAAAAGTTGAAAAGTTAAAAAGATGAAAAATTGGAGGAATAGATAAAATATCATGTTTGGTAAAAAAAAAAAAGCAGAAAGGATAAAAAAGTGGATAGATTAACCTTCCTTCCAACTCACAAAAATCAATCCCTCCAAAACTTGGAGAAAAGTAGACAAAAAATTAATTATGTGTTGAAATATATGTTATATGTCTATATATCATATTTATCAATTACATATTATGAATTTATATTTTTTTATCCTTCTATTTTTTCATTAATACTAAACATAAAAAAATTATTCATTTTTACTTTTCATACATCCTACAAAATACAAAGGAATGAAAGTATATCATTTTTATTTTTTTTCCTTGGAGGATAAAAAATATATCATTATTATTTTTCATCATTCCTACTAAATAGGGCATAAGTCTAACCCCTTTTTGAAAAATAATGTTCTCATTCTTTTTCTCCTTTTTTTTTTCAAAATCTGTTTGGTTAGTATAATAAAATGTGATTTATAATACTCTGTAAACCTCTATTCCGATCTTACAGCCAGCCTTGTTTTACATGAGTCAGAACCTAAAAAGCCTTGTTAAGAGAGGGAAAAGTTTGGGCTGACCCAAACATTGAGGCCCAATTTATCATGAATTTACTTTCATAAAAAGTGAAAATTGAGAGTGAATCTTCCTAAATGAATTTATAATGAGTTAAGTCTTGGAAGAAAATTTATTTGGGGGTAAGTCCATGTTTAAACTTATATGTAGATATTTAAGTCCACTTATTTTTTAAATCTCAAAATTACCATTAACGATGTTAGTTTTGTCTAGTTATGAAAAGTCATATAGATTAGATCATTGGAAACCTTTAATTGAGTTATATATGAAATCGTTTATTAAATATTATGATAATTAACGAGTTTTATATAGAAGTTATATATTTTGATAGTTATATATAGGAAGCTTAATATACAAATAAAATGTTGGTCTATTAAGTCAAAATCATATCATAAAATTTCTTTTACAACAGTAATGCATAATATAGGGAGGCTGAACTGTAACACCTTGCATTTTCTTTTATATATGTATATAGATATATAGTAAATAATTGTGATAAAAAAAATGTGGATATATGTAGTGATATGTGTTTGAATTTGGTAGATTGAAAAAGTAGAGATTTAAAATGTTAGTGAAAATAATTGAAATTTGGTTTTAATAAGTGAAAATATGAAATTTTAGGTCCTAGAACTTGTATTAAATAGGTTTGATGTAGAAATATGTGTTGGGGAGGTTTGGGATAGATTTGGTTGGCTTAGGAATGGATTGAAAATGGAAAAGGGACGAAGACAGGCTATGAACAGTGCACTGTTGCAACTTCAAGCTCGATTTAGACCTTGATGCAGTCAATATCTCTCAAAACTCAAAACATGAAAGTTTTAGAGCTCTTTCGTATCATTCCATAGCATCTTGAATCATCTCAATTGGAGCTTGGATGAGAGAGTTATGCTCAGATAACGAAATAATTTCGAAATAGTCCAATTAACTTCGTTTTGCATTTAATGTCTCCATTTGCATCCTAAATCAAAATATAAGAATAATGAGTACTTTTAGGCTTCAAATATGTATAAAAGGCTTTAAGAAACACCATTTATCACCTTTTTATTTGCAAACATCGCAAAACTTTATTAATAGTCAATTCGGATGGGTAAAATATAAATTTTAGTGTTTCGGGTGTACGTTGACTTGAGTGTTGAGATAAATCATAAAAATAAATGTTGTTAGGTTAAAATAACATTAAAACTGAATCCGGAACGTCGAAAAACCTTAGGGTAGTCATAAGGATCAAATTGGAGATTTTTAGTGGTAAAACCGTAAATTTGGAGAAACCCAAAACAACTGTGAACAGTATTTTTCGGGGCTGCTATGTTTTAAACTCATTTTCATCTCATTTGCTCTCATTTCTTTCACTCCCCTCACACTCCCACACCTTTTGAAACCCTAGAGAGCATTAGAGAAGAAGAAAGGAAGGGAAAAACAACAGATTCAAGGGTGATTCAAGATCAAATATTCTTGTTCTTCACTCCAAAGCTAAGGATTCAAAATAGGGGTTTTCTCTCATTCACTTACATTGAGGCTAGGGTATTTATATATGTATGTTTTGGCTATCAATGGTATATATATGCTATGGAATCATCCTCTCTTAGGCTTTTTGCAAGGATTACATGTTTTGAACAAAGTAGGGTTTAATACCCATGAAATCTCCTTTCTAGTTTTAAAACCCTAATTTTTGGAGAGTGATGTATTTCCTTCCTAAATGCTTTCTTTATTATGGATTTCGAAACCTTAGTGCTTTGTGTTGGGTAGAAAAATGATGTTATTGTGATCTCATGTATTTTCTTAGTTAGTTGTGGAATTGTTATATGATATATTTTGAGAATTTTGGATAGATGCTTGTAAATTGAGATAAATGTTGGAATTGTATGCTTGGTTGGGTTGTTTATGATGCACATGAGTGAGAGGTTCCTTGTAAGGATGCTCACCCCTTCCTAAGAGGTTTTCGGTAAGGATGTTTGGGAAATAATGTAGTGATTGGTGAGAGGTTCCATGTAAGGATATTCATCCATTTTTAAGAGGTTCCCGGTAAGGATGCTTGAGAATCAAATGTGACCTAAAAGAAGGTGGAGGTTACCACAAAGTATGCCACCTACCGAAAGAATTGTTGAAAATTGGTTATGGCAATTAATAGTTATTATTTGTATGTGGTGCTCATTTATTCATTTAAGTAATGTTTTTAAATAAACTTGAGATCCTTTTTAAATGTCACTACTTTATTTCAAATTATGTGCCTATGTTATGTTAAAATTGAGACCGACCATTTTAAATGCTTTTCTAAACCTTGTTTGAGTTTGAAAGAATGTTTCTACAGAGCTTCGTGCTCACCCCCTATCGTTAACATTTTTCAGATTACCCGTTTAAGGAGGAGGACGTAAGGGTCGAGGAGCCTGCTACTTGGGAGACTCCACGGGACGGGAGTATGGATCCCGAGGTGGACGCATAGAGCGATCTCTTTTCCTTTTGTACCAGACTAGGATATTCTTTTGGAACATTGTGTAGTCTAGCTTCTTTTGTTTATTCCGCTGCGCTTCCTTAATTAATTTTTGAGATATAATAGTCATGACTTGAGCTTATTCTTTTGGATAATGTTGTAAATATTCGTGGATGACAAATGAAGTCTTGTTTCTTAAGGGATTATATTAGTGCTCTCATGATATGAATGATTTTAGAATGTAATGCCGTCCAGGGTGTGTTTTGGGGCATTACATCATCCAAGTAAAACTTCATGTGC